TGCATCCTGTTTTTGTTAGCCCACCCCTGTAACCTATCCAGGTCTTGCTGCAGTCTTTCCCTCCCTACTAGCGTGCTCACCTCACCCCAAATTTTGGTATCATCAGCAAATTTAAACAGGTTGCTTTTCACCCCATCGTCCAGATCCAATTCACCAACTGATTTTTTTTCTTATATGGCCTGATAAACTGGGATGTCAGCAACAATTCACCAGTGGTAGCTGAGTCACAAGAGATGGCACATCTTTTAGACCAAGCTATATTAATTCGGCTTGCCACTCCCAAAATGTTCTTGACCTGCACTCTATGCTATATGCACGCTACTTACAGTCAAAATTGGGTTTCTTATTCAGACATCCACATCTGTTTTTCTGCCTTATAACTTGAACTGAAATTAGGATAACATTTTTGATGTTTAGTCTCTACCCAAAGATTTTGTTTAAAGTTTCAGAAAACTTCATTCAGTTTGTGTTTGCAAGGAGCATATTTGCATGTCTTCATATTACTCTTGTCCCAATGCTCAAGTAAAAAAAAGGCACAATCATTCACTTCCAATGACTGACTAAATCTTGTCCAGATTCAGCTTGTTCTTTAGAGTTGGCTGAGCTCTAAGGAAAATGCCAAGTTTGAAGGAAATACACTTAGTCATTTTGAAGTTCTGAAAGCTGAAAGTTTCTCCTGTGTATAAAGGATGTTTTCCTGTTAGATTTCTTTGCTCTATTTACAGCTTAGATCATAAAGGCAAAGCTGTTATGTAGACTTTAATGTGGGAGTTTTCTCCCTGACCAGTGACCTCTGACATCAGTCCTGGAGGTTAAGTAAATGTAGATTCTAGTCTTGGTTTTAACTAGCCTGCTATGTAATGTTTGAGAAATTAACTTAACTGCACTATCTTGTTTCCCTGCTCTGTAAAACTACTACTCACAAAGCCTGTAAGATTACTTGCCATTTGCATTGTACTTTGAAAAATACAGAAGTCCATTTCTGATCTCAGAAAATAATCTTGCATAATAATTGGGCACATCTACACATGCACTTTAATGCACATTAACCTATTTTAATGTGCATTAAAGCATCACTAAAAGCCATGCTCTTTAGTTAATATGCATTAAGATATGCTAATACTTCACACTTTTACACATGCTCGGGGATGGCGGCACTTCAGTTAGAGAGGCTCCGAGAGCCACTCTAATTTAAGTGCTGCTGCATCTTGTGTATCAGTGTCCCCTTGCTTAAAAATGGTGACAGGGGTGCTTGAACCAAAACTCATTCAACAAGCTTTAGGTGAAGCACCCCTGCCACCATTTTTAAGTGAGTGGACACTAATATATAAGATGCAGGAGGCTGCTGGAGCATGGTAATTGCCATGATCCAGCATACTCAATTAATTGAGTTTGCTCTGATGCACTCAAATTCCAGCCTTCATACTCGTGTATAGATGCCCCATTTTCCTAGGACCTCACAATGGAGGTACTTGATTTAATGTGCATTAACCATGTTAATGCATGTTGAGATGCGCCCAATGTGTTGCATAAGCAAGAGATTTCCCTTCAGTTTGGAGAAGGATCTTCCTCTGTCTGAGGAAGATCAAATCTCTTTTCCTATCATTTAGTGTTACTGCCTTCCACACCTAAGAGGCAATGGAAGAACAAATTGCTGTTTTTTGCAAAGAAAAAAGAAGGGGGGAAAAGCAATGAGAAAGGATGTGTACGTGGCAGTAATGGAGGTTCAGGTGCTGTAGGGGGGCATGGGTTGGTGATTTGAAATATGTAACCTTGCTGAATCCACAGGTTCAAATCAGACCTTCATCCTAATTGTAAACAAAGTGAGTTCACTGACATTTATTGCATTTTCAGACAATGTTCTGAAAACTAGAAGTTTTCTGAATGGGTTTTAAAGAGCAAAACAAAGTCTATGCAATTAAAAATTTTCTCCCTGTGGCACTGAACAAAGTTTTTCCGTGCCTTAGCTGAACTTTAGCTTCTTTTGCACCAGTGGGCTGTGATGCTCATCTCTGTCTCAGAGATCACAGAATTCTAGTGCTGTATTATGTGAATAATTTGTGCTTTGTTTTGGGATAGGAGGTGCTGTAGAAATGTAAAACATTATTACAGTTCATTCTGCTGAATGTGGACATAATAAAGCTGGATGACTCTTTCAAAGGGGTGTCTCCTAGGAATCTGATTTAACCTAATGATAGTATATGGTAATCACTGCTGCTTAATTGGAACAGTGTTATCATTAATTCCACTTATTGGGATGAATTTGGTTCCAAGTAGTTAAGTGGTGTTTAACCAGTTAAATGGGTGTGAAATGATTTGCCTCTGGTCTTTTAATACAAATCACCAAAGAAAGATTAAATTTGATATTGTTGCAGACTTTTGTTAGACCCTGCTCTAGGGCTCAGAGGATTTATATGCATGGATACATTTGCAAGACTCAGGCCTTAAACAGTTAGTGAGACTACTCTCCCAATAGTTTTGTCAGGTTAGGAGCAGTAGGTGAAGGGAGACTTTATGATCCGAACTATCACAGTTTGGCATCCCAGCTTGGAAGGAATGCTGTTACCAAAAGACAGTTTCTTCTCATTTCTCCTGACTGAACGTGGTTTCGCAGTTGTCAAGGAGGACATAGGAAGCCATTTCTGTGACCTAGAATCTCTCACAATAGCTACTGAGAAAATTTTAGGTTGGATGTAAACCATTTATAGTGTTTTTCAAATTTTATGTATAAATAACTTTTACATTAGTTGAGGTTTTATTTTTTTAGTTTTGCTATCGTTATAATTATATTTGTTAAAACTATTAGTAAAGATGTGAATAAATTCTAAAATGGATTAATTTAAACATGAGTCCTCACTATTCTTGTTTCCCTGGTGCTTTATAAGGTACATTGCTTATGGTGACATTTTATTCCCTTGCTTTTCTCTTCTTAGAGAAATTGTATTTAATGTTCTTAGGCTATATTGTACATTATTGTCTTGTTATGACTACTTCAAGGAAGAAAAACTGTTCAAAAACAATACTACCAATGGCAAGCCATGCAAATTAAAATATTAATTGTTATCTCTTAACAGATTTTACCTGATTAGTGGGGGTGTTCCTTTTATTATTTGTGGGATTACAGCGGCAACAAACATCAATAACTATGGAAATGAAGGCAATGCCCCCTAGTAAGTATATCCTATTTAATATAAAATATTTTGTTGAACTATTTTTATGTCTATCTGATGCTGATAAATTTTATTAAATCATAAAGGTTAGAGAGATAGAGTGTAAGATGAAATTCCATGATTTCAAGGACCATGGTAACGTTTAGGAAATAATGTCTGTGAAAGTTCAATGTCTTCATTTTTGGATTCAATACTTCTCACTCACTGCCCAGTTTGTACAATTCTGACTCCACTGATATCAATGGAGTTATATTTAATTTAAAATTGTATAAACATGAAAAGAATTAGACCTATTGTTTCTTCACTCAGGTAATCATGTACTTTTGTTGAAAGTTACACGCACACACAACTTTATGTATATTACATGTATATTGCTTCTTTACTTGTTTGATTTATATACTGCCCTATCCAACAAAGTGTCAGTGTAGTTCACAATAAGGCCAGGTACAGACTTTACATTTTTACTGGTATAAGTGATCAGAAACCAGTCTAAACCCATCACAGAACAGAAGTTCAGGGCACAAAACCAGTCTATACTTGTATCAGAACAGAAGTTCGGCACACATAGACTGGTTTAAAAATGGTAGAACTTGGTTTAAGATTTGCCCCCCCCCGAACAGTGAATTTGTGTTCTGTTCATTACCAATCTAAACTATACTGCATAACTTAGATCGATTCTTCCTCGGGCTTTTTGAATGTCTGTACCTAGCCTAAGAGAACACAGTAACTCATAAAACAGGAGAATGAACAGAAGAACAAAAAAAAGAAACTTAAAAAGGGAACCAGAATAGCCACATAAAACAGAGACCCCCTAAACAATATCTTAGCCTAGCTTTGTTGGCTAAACACCTGGTCAAATAGGAAGGTCTTACAATGCTTCTGAAGGATGGCCAGGCTTAGGCTCTGTTGGGCCTCAAAAGGAAAGGTGTGCTAGAGATGAGGATCACCTGCCAAGAATGACTTCCTATGAGCTTTTGCCAAGTACATTTGGCTTATTGTTGGTAGTTGAAGGTTGCTGTCAGCTGACCTCAGAGATCACAATGTGGGATAAGGAAACAGGCATCCCCTTAGGCAGATAGGGCTCAGATCATTTAGGGATTCATTGTTCAAAACCAGCACCTTGAATTGTGCCTGGAAAGCTATTGGAAGTCAATGCAGACTCTGGAGCAATAGAGTTATGTAATCCTGGTGACCCACCTGCATCAGTAGGTGTACCACCACATTCTGCACCAGTTGGTGCTCACTATATCAGCCCATCAGAAACAAGAAAAAAAGATAATCACTATATCTTCTTTCATTTTCCATAAAATTTCCAGTTTAAAATAGTAAGATCAGATAGTGACTGGTTCTGAAGTCTGTTTGGAGTGGAAAGAGAAGACTAAATATGACGTCTTTGCACATGTGTGATGGACAGCATAAGTGTTCGCTATATGACTCTCATTGCTAGTGGTGCAAACAACTGCAAACACAGTAATGCAAAAGCCTACTGGTGCACTTTTACCAGTTCATAAAAGTGGCAGATGCACCATACCTCATTGAACAGACCACACGTCATTTGCAGAGATCTGATGCCCTTTCCTCGGGCATTTTGCTTAGTGCAATTACAAGAATTACAAATACCTAATAAATAGCTTTATAGAGAGATACTGATGATGCTTTTAGTCCCTCTTTATATTTCTTCCTTAAAAATAAAACATGTTGGGTTTAAAGCAAGGTTTTCAAGATGCATACTAGTGTCCAATCTAACCAGATAGGCTGTATGGCTATCACAGATTCATGTTTCAGGTGCCTTATGTGCATTATTAACTGTTGCTTCCTGGGAAACAGAGTGCAAAAGGATCCTAGTAGACTTCCCCATAAAAACAGAACAAGAAGTGACTCAGATTGCCAAATGGAATTGATTGCTCTGAGGTGTGTGTCCCTGATCAGTGTCCTAATGCATTTATCAATATATTATGTCAATACAGTGCAACTGCTGCTCTCCAGGGCGTCAGGTTCAGTTAATCCTATGGTGCTTTAAGTATGCTGCCTCATACCTCTGAAGGCAACTGTTATATGAGCTGGAAAAGAGGCATCTGAAAACAAAATGGAATATATAATAACATTTGGCCTTTTATAATAGCTTTCACAGAGAACTGAATTTTGACAGTAAATTAGTCAAGACCCTCAGCAACTTTATCTTCTCAGCCTGGGACCCACTCAGACCATCCCTGTCATATACTCAAAACATATTTATTCAAACATGTCCAATTAGACAATCACTTACAATCAACAGTGTATTAAAAGACTTGATTATTTATATTCATAAATCTGTAAGACATTTTTCATTTTGGCACAATTAAGAGGTTGTACTTCCTTAATCACTTTAATCACAGCTAATCAATACTGGTATCACAATCTGTACAGAAAACAGGACACAGGTGAGAGAGGGTTAGAGAGAAAAGAAAGCTGCAAATTGAACATCACAGTGGGTTGCGTGCCTTCTCCATTTTTAATAATGTTAATACATAAAAATGTAGATGTAGCAACTTTAACATATTTTTTATGGAACCGAAGAACTGATTTTTAAGTAATCCATGATATTCCACTTGAAATAACTGCATCCTGAGAGAATGTTCCACCGGGGAACCTTCCAGTTTTCATTTTGCATCCAAGATGTACCATTCATATTTTATTTAAAGCATACCCACCAATCTGGGCTTCACACTCATCAAATAAAATCTAGTATTACCTTATTTACCCAGATGATGTCTTTCAACATACTTCTCACAAGGGCAATATATATATATTCCTGGAGGTGCTTCTGAGATCATTAATAAATTGTGAGTTTGTTAAAGATCAGAGCTCAGGATAAAAAATTAAATGTGGTTGCATTGCAATTCACACTAAACAGAACCCAACTGAGCTAAATCTTGTTAAGGCAGAGGGCTTCACCTTAGAGGATGACATTTCCATGTTGCTAAATGGTAGGAGAATCCAAGCCAAAGAGAAGTCTTTTTTTCAAAAAAAGGGTGAGAACCATTTTTAGAAGGAACGTATCTGATATTAGGAATGTTTTTCCCTTTCCCTGTAATAAAACTATGGTTTTTTAAATTAACATATATTTGTGGTTAGTTTTCCATAAAAACATATTGAAAATCAAGTATTGTCCCTCTTCATAGTCCCCATGGGCCAAATACTGGGCATACATAACATTTTCTCTTTTATGAAATTGGTATGATGTAGATTGAGATGCCTCTCATCCTGCATAACACACAGAGAGATTGAGTTCTGGAGAATAACATGGGGAAGGCAGCAGCTTCCTCCAAATTCCAGGAGAAGGATGGACTCCTCCCATGCTTAAACCTCAGTGGGGTTAGAAAGAGACTGTGATTGGGACAATGCAGGCTGCAGAGAACTGTAATATTTCAGAAACTGAAATCAGGCAATGATTTCTGGAGGAGATGTACTAGAAGGGCTTAAAGGTTTTCCCCTATGGTAATCATGTGGATGTCCAGACAGGACTCCAACCTTCTATGGCATCCAGGAAATGGTGATGTTTTGTTTAAAATTACATAGAAAAGGAGCATTGACCCATTACCTTTCTCTTCCCATGACCTGAATGATTGTAGCCTTAGCTTTAAATTAATTCCTGCAGTCTTGTGTACCCAGCAAGAAGAAAAAAGAGGGTCAAGGGATCTGTACCAGGTTGCTCTGTAAGAAAAATGATCCTTTCTCTGAAGAGTTCTGCAGATCCACACAGTCTCCCTTCACTATTGTTCCCTGAGCCATTCACCCCCAGGAGAGTTCTTGTCAGCTTGCAGCCAATTTATGTAGCCAGCTGAGGCTTACACAGTCCATACTGCCAAGCAGACAATCTACGGGATTTTGCCCCAGAGTAAATAAACAATTTTCTAAAAGCAGATACGGCTTTGTTATCTTCAGTGACGGCCATTGTAGAGGCACAATGTGGATATCAACCCAGATTGCAGCAATTTTGCACAGCTCAAAAAACATATAGGAGCCATGAAGGGTTCCTAAGTTGTCTAAGCCTTCTCAAATTCACAACAAAAACAACTCCAGAAACTGGAGGAAGCTAAAAGCTGCACTTAGATACCTTTGCACCTTTGGGGTCCAGTGAGTGGTACAAAGTGGCCGAACTCATGATAAAGGCCTGTATAATGCTGGGAATCTTTATCTGCTACTCCATGAGATGCTGACTGCACAGTAGCCTGATACTACTGAACAGTAGCATTGCGTGGCAAAAACTGTGATGCACTGCTGCTGTGCAGTAGTATTGGGCTACTGTGCAGTAGTGTCACAAGAAAGGCATTCGTCGGCGCTACAGCACAATAACTCAGGTTACTGTGCTTTTATTTAGTATTTGCATAAACAATTATTAAATAAATACACAGTAACCATTGTGCAGTAGTGTCTCATGTAAACATGGCCCCTGTTTATTTTGTGGTTGCTTTCTTATCTAAATTGAACATCCAACCTATCCCCTACTCCAACAAATGGAAATACTGTGTGGGGAGACATTTTAACATGCACATTAATAATATAAACCAGCAGTACCTGTAAAGTAATACTCTATGGAGTTTGGTCAGCCTGGGACATCTAAAGACCCTAAAGGTTTTGGAGCCCAGTTGCCTTTTCAGTAGGATATAGGTCACTTGGGCTTCTTACTATATTGAGTTTAAATGTATTAGTTTATTTCTAAAAATATTGGTAAATGCATATCCAAAAATGTCTCATTGGAGATATTTGTTTGATGGCACTGGAAGTGTTGTTTCAGAATAGTAAATCTTAAGCTGATGATTTTGCTGTATACTGCGTAGCTGCACTAGACAGAGGTATTACCCTTTCGCATACAACAACACTCTAAGGTAGTTACATACCTTACATTTCCAAGTTCAGCACACGCAGTATGTCTTGTTTTACTGCAGTGTTCCTTAGCATGATCTAAAGGCAGCATAATCATATTCTTTTCCTCCCATGGCTAGTATTTCATCATTTCCTTGACAGAAAGGAGACATCTGCCTACACCAAGGTGATATCATACTGCCAATCCAAAAGCTATGCATTGTCCATTATGTCAAATTTGAGTCTTAAAATGTATTTGACTTTGACTTCTTGTTGTTCACAGTTGTTGGATGGCATGGGAACCAAGCCTCGGTGCATTTTATGGGCCAGTAGCATTCATTGTGTTAGTCACCTGTGTGTACTTTCTCTGCACTTACGTGCAGCTGAAGCGCCATCCAGAACGCAAGTATGAATTAAAGGAAAGGACAGAAGACCAGCAAAGACTGGCAAGTACTGAAGTGGGCCATAGTCATATTACGGACACTGGTTCAGTTGCCCAGGCATCATGCTCCATGATTTCTTCTTCCTTATTGGAGAATGAGCACTCATTTAAGGCTCAGCTGCGAGCTGCAGCATTCACTTTGTTCCTGTTTACTGCCACTTGGACCTTTGGAGCACTTGCTGTGTCTCAAAAACATTTCTTGGATATGATATTTAGCTGTCTCTATGGAGCCTTCTGTGTGACCTTGGGGCTTTTCATTCTCATTCATCACTGTGCAAAGAGAGATGATGTATGGCATTGCTGGTGGTCCTGTTGCCCATCTAGAAGAAACACATACTCTGTACAAGTTAATGTCCGCCCAAAGGTTAATGTCAATGGGGACACCCAGGTTCATACATCTTGTCTTCAGGAGTCACCATGTCCTAACAAATCAGCTGTTTTTAATCATCCAGCTGCTAGTCACTGCAAACTTACTAATCTACAAGCTGTTCAAAACCATGTTAACTGCCTTTCACCAGTTACACCCTGTTGCGCAAAAGTGCACTGTGATCAACTTCTTGATGATGAAGCTCATATTCATGTACACAACGAAGGAACTTTCAGACCTAACGTGCATATTCATAGATGTCTGAAAAGCAGAACTAAGCCACGTTACTTCAGTCGACATAGGTCTGCAGGAGAGAGAGAATATGCCTATCACATTCCTTCAAGTATTGATGGCAGCATCCACAGTTCACATACAGACAGTCCACACAGTACGCATGATAGCCAGTCAGGGCACAGACGGGCCTGCTGTGCAAAAAGTGATCCATACCCTACCATCAACCAACCTGAAAGTAGCGACGCAAGTACTGTTATATACAGTTGTGCTAAAATGCCAGAAACTGACACTGTGCACCATGCAGCTCATTTTGAGATGCACCCACGGACACAATCATTGCCATTTAATACAACTAATCACAATGGAATTCTCAAGGGAAATGTGCATGAAGCCATGATATACAGTTCAGATAGTACAGGAAATATCAAAACGGGCCCTTGGAAAAATGAAACTACTGTGTAGTTCATGGGCCACTCATTTGTCTTTTTCACTCTAGTCATCGTAAGCTTTGTTTTTATTCTAAATTGAATAAGACAATGTATTTGTGTAGCACATCAGCAAATTGTATGTGTTTTTCCACCATGGTTTCTGTTTTCTTATTGAGAAGAGACTAAAAACTTGCTGTAGTGGCAGTGTTTTAAAAGTGAAGTTATTTTTAAAAGAATGTTGAAAAATTGTTCTGGGAGAATATTAGAAAATGGAGCTAAGAGAAACTGACTATGAGAGGCAATATCCTTTTGTTACAAAGAACTATATTTCTTTAGAAAGGCATCATTTTTATTCATTCTTTTGGCTTTTAATTCCAATAACTTCAAACACTTTTTATAAACATATCAGCATCTTAAACTTTTACTTATTTATTTTTGTAGCAAAGTATAATTACTGTGCCATGGATTTTAATCAGAAGTGACAACAATAGAAATGAAAAGCAGGATTTTGTAAAATTACTAATGCAGCTTTTTAGATCTACAAAG